ACTCATGTAATGGTACAAGATCCCAGTGATGAATGTAACTGTATTTTACACCTAAAATGTACCAACAAACTTAATGGGGGAAAGAAAAACAACTCCAGTCCCAATCCAGCCTATCCTGCCTCATCTGCCTCACAGAGCAGCCACTGAGCCAGAGAATAGCGATGCTCTCTGGTTTTCTGGGCTGGTTATTTCCTGGCGAGGTCCTATCTTCAGGGGAAACACAGAGGCAGTGCCCCCGCAATCCTTTACTTGCACGTGTAAGTGCCCTGCACCCACCCTGAGGAAAGGATTCTTTAGGGTTAGCTGTAGTGCATCTGCAGGAATCTGTGGACTCTTGCTCCTGTGTAGAGCATCCCAATACTGGCCCGTCGTCTGGAAGGGTCATGGATCCTGCTGTTTTATCCTTTAATTTCCCTCAGCCCCACTGACCACTGTACATGCAGGAAGTGCTCAGGGAGTCCACACAGACAATAATGGCTCTCCAGTCCAGTCACACTGTCGCGTTTAATCATCACAATGCATAGACATGGGCTGTCTAACAAATTATCCCTGTCTAACAAATTAAGAAACCAACCCGGATGCTGCAGTTGATGCTGTGTGTCTGAGGTGCTAAGTGTTCATCCTGCAGAAATATACTACCATAAGAGCATTCATTTGTTAAACCCAGGGCCTTTGCAGCAGGCTACATCCCCACTCCTTTTTCATTTTTAAAATTGTGAGACAGGGTCATACTTAAATCACTGAATTATTCAGGCTGAGCTGGATCTTGAAATCTTCCTCCCTCAGCCTCCCAGAGTGCTGAGATCATGGAAGTGCGCCACCACACGCAGCTAAGAGCTCTCCAACTTCTACAAGTTACCCAAGGTTTTTCCCACTGGAAAAACCCCTTTCTCATCAGGCTGGATTTCCACACACAGTAAGAAGACTTTAACTACTGAATTTCTCAAGCTCCCGTTTTCATCCAGTCAAGCAGAACCTTCTTGAGGGCAGGGTTCTTGGGGCCAGGAGTCCCATCAGGTGTTGGATTCCGAGTCTCCTGTGACACACAGTGAAAAGGAAGAGCTTTCCAGGCAGACAGCCTGGGTTTGAGTCAAAAGTCACAAATCGCTCCCAAGTCAAAGTCAGCTTTGGGATCTGCAGCAACCACTGGACCGCTCTGGCTGTCTTCCCTCCTGTAAAATGAAGGCGATTACCTCGGCAGCACAGCTCTCACGATTCCGGTGGAAACTTCCTGGGATGCCAAGGCATCACCGTGATTTTATTGCATGTTAAAGCTTCACTTCCCTTTGCACGAAGGACTTCTTTTATTTTATTAGTGTATGTTTGCGATAGATACATAATAAATACATTCATCATGGGGCACTGGTGCTTATCCCGATCACATCTGGATCCTTTTTATTTCCCTTCGCTGACCCCCTCCTTCCCATCTCCCCCCATTCGCAGATGGAGAGGGAATCACAATTTCTACATCAGGTTAATGGGAGGTTGCAGAGTGCACCCTTGGGGAGGGGGGGCAGTGCTCCCCTGCGTTATGCCCCCTAGTGGTGGCAATGAGAGCGAGTATTGCTGCTCAAGTAGAGAACCACAAATATTTACATTTCAGGAAATCCACATATTGAAATTTGTGACTCAGCATGGGTTGCCTTGATGATACGATTCTGCACTCAAACTGAGTATGGTGGTGCACATCTGTAAGTGCAGCACTCTGGATGACTGAGGCAGGAGGATTGCAAATTTGAGTCGAACTTGGGCAATTTAGTGACTTAATGAGACACTATCTCAAAATAAAAATAAAAAAGAGCTGGGCTGGGGATTTAGCTCAGTGGTTCCGGCGCCTGCCTCGAAAGCTCAAGGTCCTGAGTTCGATCCCCAGTACCAAAAAAAAAGTTTTATAAAAGAGCTAGGGTTATAGCTTGGTATGAAGGCCCTGGGTTCAATCCCCAGTACTGAGATGTGCCTCTTTGTCTAAAGCAAGCCCACATATTCAATGTATAAGTATTGATTATGTTTTCCAAAGTACAGATGGGTGCTGGTCACCGGATGCTTCTGCACAGCGCTGTTTGCATGCTGACCTTTCTCTCTCCCTGTCTCCCCCCGTCCCCATTCAGGTTCACTACAAAGCACTTGAATGATGAGTCAACTTCCAAACAGATTCGAGCAATGCTGCAGTAGGAGCCCTGCTCTGAGAAGAGGATCTGTGTGCTGACCTCAGAAGATGTATATGTTTACATAATTTAATACAGATTGATGTTAATACTTGTGTATTTACACAACGGTTTCCTTCTCGTCCCTGAAATATATGAACCTTAATTTGTACCCTGACTGACTCAGCCCAGCAGAGTATAAATCCACTTGAGAGCCTTACCTTCGATGTCTGAAACAAAACCCCGTCTCTCAAGGCCAGGTTTGGAGACTGATCTTGTCCTGGAGCCCTTCAACGACACCTGTAACAATCAGAAATTCCTAATAGTTAGTGGTAGCCTTTTAATTCTAGATTTATTATCTCTCCAGGAGCATAGTTCATAGAAACACAAAGTGTTTGATTTCCTGCATCTGTCAGCTCAGCTACAAGAAACGCAACACTGGGAGGAAGGAAGGCAAGGAATGAGAAATGCATGTGGAGGATCCAAGTTGTGCATGAGCCTCTGTCCTCGCACGCCTTTCCATTTGTGCATGTTGTATTAATCAGTATCTCTCCTCCTGTCCAGGTGTCTTCTGTCCCTCTGAGGTCCCCCTTTACTTCTACATGAGGAAAAGCGCCTGTGTTTTAGTGAAAGAGCAGTGGGGATGGATGGGTTCTTGGAGCTGGACTGAGGACAGTGATTGTTGAGAGAGAGTGAGAAATGGAGCTTGGCTTGGAGACCCAAAGTCAGCATGCTGACCTCCCAGCAGCTACCAAGTGCTGGGCACCTGGCCCCTCCTGTCAGCATGCCCTGACCTCTTTGGGGACAAAGGTCAAGGGTACTTCATTAGTTATCGGGAAAGTGGATACTTAGAGGGACAACACCCACATCTCCTGGTTCCCTGTTGTGAAAAGGCAGCTGTGCCCTGCCTCACCCTGCTGCTGGCATAGTGTGAAAGCTTCAATCTGAGTATCTGGGGTTAGTCCCTGCCCTACTAATGATTCACAGTGTGATCTTGAGAAATTTACTTGGCTCTCCACACTGCGCCTTCTTCATCTATAAAATGGGCCATTAAAACAGATAATCTCCAAAAGCCCTATAAGAGTGGGAGCCAATAAAGTGGCTGACTCTACCCTTCTGCCTTCGTGAGTAGTTTCCAGTAAGCATTGCCCACCTGCCTTGATGATGGTCGCTCCTGCAGGGCCTGCAGCTTTTCTGTGTGTCGACCAAGTTTGGTTAGAATACGACCTTGGAGACTTGTTCTGTCCACCAAGGGGAGAAAGAGGCCCAGAGGATGTGGTTACACAGGATGGCTACGTGGTGGGACCAGAGCCTAAGATGCTTCCCTCCTAAATCTGAGGGCTTCCTTCTTCATTATGTGGCCTGAGAGTACAACTATGGGATGTGGCTGGACCCTTGTAGGGAAACTCTAAGACTGGCCTGAGTGGCCGCTTGCTAATTTCTGCTGGAAAGAAAGAGGTGTGTGATCATCGGGAATGGGGATCCTGGAGATGGGGCCTGGGCACTGCAGGCTTGGCGTCCTCTGCAACGGTCCAAGGAGTGAGCGGAAAGATTGTCACCTGCCATTCCCTGGAGTTCTCCAGGAAAAGGGGATAAATACTTTTGTTTGGTTTTGTTTCTACTAAGAAATGCAGTGAAATGACAAGAAAGAGTCCCTGGTCTAGATGTGAATATCACTCATATAACAGGGAGAGGAAAGGGCTTTTCCTTGGAGGTTGAAAGCTGAACGAATATAGCTGCTTAGACAGAGGTTCGCTCATCAGAACAGAAAAATACCAGAGCTGCCAAGACCTTTTCAAACCTATGGATTCTAAAACCCTGGAGGAAGCCAGAAGATACAGTAATGCAGGGTGAGCAAACTCATTCAGCAGTCAGCTTAAGAGATGTTCTGATTGGCAGCCACTTGCTGTGCTTGGCCAACAGCCGTCAAGCCCAGGAGAATGGAGTGCACGACATTCGTCATCTTTGGGTCCATTTTCTCCACTCTCGGAAGATGAGATGAAGGTTTAAAGAGAAGAAAGGACTTGCCGGTCACCACTGGGCTCTTGAACACAGCCTGAGGGACTTTAACCCAAGCCATGTGTCTATACCACAGCTGCCTCTCAGGTGGTTCAATGAGAAAATGTTAGGGATTGTCTGTCAAATGATGTATATATAAATATATAAATAGTTGAGCACATTTATAATTTTTAATTAGACTTTCTATCAAGTGGGACCAAACATATGTGTGGGGCTGCTGGTCTGCTCCCGTTTAGCCAGCTACCTTGTCTCAAAGCTGAGATTCAGCAGGATGTGGGTTCATAAGCCCAGGGTCTCTGTTGGTACCCGTGATTATTGGAAAGGCAGGTTGTGTGTCTGTGATCACTAACAGGGAACAGGCCATGTGCCTGTTCCAGGACTGCTGTGGGAGACACAGCATCTTAACAGGCTGCCTGCTAGGCATCAAGAGTCCTCAGACAACCAGTTTTCAGTGCCGCATGCACACATATCCAAGAGTCGTGGGTGGTTTAGGGGAACGTGCTCGCGACAGTGTCAGTGTCAATGTTAACTATATTTCATATTTGATGTCTCATAGTTTTCAAATAAATAGTGTTTTCCACGACTCAGATATTTATTTCTGGTTAAGTAGCAAGGTGAAAATTATGTTTCTCAGATTCATAACTACTTCAGTATTCCAACAATTCTCAGAAACCTTTCATGTGCCACTAGGAATTAATAGTAAAAAACCAGGTGGAAATGGGTGCTTGGAATTGTGCTGACAAATTAGGGCTGGAATATTAACTAACAACCAGAAAGATCTTGGATATTATCTAGATGTTAGTTAATACCATGCTTCATCAACATTTGCTCTTAGTCCTAACCATTATGTCAAGACAATGGTAAACACAAGTGTTTGATACATTGTCACATGTAAATAAAAATAATTTCATGCTTCCTCAAAAGAAACATGAAGCCCACTCAGTCTTGGACTCCAGCTGCACTGTGGGGTTCAGAGACTTCCCATTCAGTTTCTCATCTTAGACAGCTACAGATTTTTCTAGATGTTAATAATTAACATTGGAGTTTTATCTCCAAGAGCCCAAAACTTTAGAACACAATCTTCTCCCTACAAAGGTAAAGGCTGTTCCACACCCAAAGTTGTTTTAAAGCCATCAAAATTTTTTTCAGAAGTCATTATAATTTTTTTTTGCCTGATTTGCCTTGTTTTTTTGTACAGAATTTTCAAGTGTGAAATCAAAAATTAAAGTTTGGTATACACATGTATTTAAAATACCCCTCTATTTTTTTTTTTCCTTTGGTACCAGGGATCAAACTCGGGTCCTTGCGATTGCACAACAGGCAGTGAAACCACTGAGCTAAATCCCCGGCTACCCCTCTATTTTTATAGGCTGTTCAGCGGTAAGTGTGTCATGAGCACACGGTGTTTTGCCCTCATAGATGTTCACCAGACTTCATTAGAAGACTTCACAGCAGCTGCCCTTCACCTTCCTACACCTCAGTCTCTTCAGACACAACATGTAATATCCACAATGTATTCCTTTGCTACCATCTGTCTCTTACACATTTCAGCAAAGATCTTTCACTATATTAAAAAAAAAAAACTGCACCGAAGTACATTTTTTAGACAGTGTAAAGTACAAAAACAATTCTTTCACTCTTCAACCAGGAAGCTTTCCTGGAACATTATTTTTAACCTGTGCTCTTCTGAGGCTCATCCCCTGAAACTGAACTATCCCCAAAAGCAGTCTTCCCTGGGCCCCTGTGTGGGAGACAGCAGCACAGTCTTTAGCATGACTGGGGGGCACAAAAGGAAATGAGGAGGAATGGGAAAGTTTCTGTAAATTGACAAATGGAAAAAAGCTGAAAGGAGTGAGAAGGAAGTGTGTGTGTGCATGCAGACACCTCGTCAAAGGACACGCAGCCAAGAGCTGTGCAAAATGAACAAAGCATGGGGACAGATGCAGCAGGCGTAGAACAGAGGAGTGTGTGATTCTGAGTGCCTTTCACGCTAGCCTGAACAGTGATTGTAATTAAGGATTCTCTTGAAAACAAGGCAATGAGGAGCTCATCTGGCCACACTCAGAAAACCTGGTAGGTATTTTCAGTCTCTACTCACACCTAATTCTGTCCTTGGCTTAACAATGAGTAGATAAAATGTCTAAAGGTTTTCTCTTTGAATGCTCCATGGCATATTTGGCCATCACCAAATATATAAATAATATAAATAATTCTGATGAATTTCTTTAAACTGTTCATATACATGAAGTACATTAATCTACCCAAATCCTGGTGGGAGCTGGCCTAGGACCCCACTAGTGTGATCCATGAATTCCCTTACTAAGGGAGTGGAGAGAGACCTTACTGTCCTGCTCTAGCTCCAGTGTCACCCTCCAGAGGAGAGGGCTGTGCTGTTCCCATTGCAACAAGTCCTTCATGTGTATTTTTCCTGCTCTAGCTGTCCACTTGCCCGTTTCTCTTACCCAAAGCCTGAAAATCCTACAGCTGCTTGGAATGCATGTTTGAAAACTATGTTCTATGAAATGCCTCCATAGAATGCCCTCTGAAATGTAACTAAGTCTCATGTGTGGATGGTTCTTGTAGCTCCTTAAAGCCTTTCTCCTTGAGAGAATTTTTTCCATAAAACCTCACTCTTCCAGTTGCTTCCTCCTCTCTGCTTGTGCTTTCTGCTTCATTTTAAAGTTTCCTTGTTTGCACCATGACAGGCTTTGTTTTGAATTGGGGACTATATTTTATTAACCATTCCTAAACTGGCCAAGGCCAAGGATGTCAGCAGGATGTGAGAACTAAAAGTCTTAAGAGCCTCCATCGCTTTGAAGAATGTCTCTAGAAAATGTCACAAGAACTAGAAGGAGGCTATCGAAGTATCTTCTTTCAAGAGTCCATATATTTGACAAGACACTTCTTTCTTTTGTGTGAGAGAAATCATGCAATCACCATGGGAAGTGTCCAGGGTGGCAGTGTTGTATGGGAATGTGCACTGGGGAGGGAGCTCTGGGCCAAACCAGGTATTTGCCATCTCCTGAATGTGCCACAGACATTTCTACTCCCACCATGCTTCCTAAGTACACAGCATGTTCTGCCCTACTTAAAATCTGCCTGTTCATCCAGATCAATATTCTCCCACTCTCTGCATATGTATTTCCCTAACTATCTCCAACCCGTGTAAAACTTTCACTTTTGGGTCTCTAATGTATTTATTTATTTTCTACTACTTATAGGCCACTTTGCTGTACTTGAAAATACGTGTTTTCTTTCTCCACCAGATTTTGAATTCCTGGAGGCAAAAGGTCTGGGCTCAGTGTATCCTGCAGGCCAGTGGAAGCCTTCTGAAAAGGTGACATGTTCAATTCCTGAAACCTGGTTGTGCTGAAATAATTTCTCCAGCTCAGCAACTATTCACAGAACAAATTATCTGCTCCCCTGGCTGGTCGATTTCATTCCTGGGAGAAATGTCTACTTACCTGTCAGGGTATTTTTAACCTCTGTAGATACAGAGAGCTTGCAGCTTGTGGCTGACCTGCCAGAAGTCCAGAGGAAAAATCGGGCCATTCTCGATCAGAAGTCGGAGTCAGCTAGTTCTGAAAAGGGCAGGCAGCAGCGTGCTAATCAGAGCAGGTCTTGCTAGGTGTGGTACAAGGCTGCTACGCTGCCAGAGTGCCGAGTTTGACACGGTCAAAGGCAGGTCAACAGATGCAGCTTCAGTGATGAGACAAATTGATTCAGCACCCTGGATAGCACCCGCTTATCTTGCCCTAACTGCAGGGCCATTTATTCTGGAATCCACAAGCTTTTATTAGTTGGTTCAACTTTGTCTCGAAAACACTGGTAATCAAAGGTAATATGTTGCTTCTAAAAATAAAGTCAGTAGGTAGCTGGGAGAGCATTTTTCTTCTTTACGAGATTTCTGAATATCACACACCAAAGGCAGAAAGTAATTTTAGAAAGGCTCAAGAAACATGGTGAATGTTCATACTTAAGTATGGTGTTTGTAGACTGAAACCAAACTCACAGGAAAGTCTCTCCATTCTTAAGCACCACGCCTCCAGTTGATCATTAAATCTTAACACACGTGCTTTCTTTTCTTTTGGTACCGGGGATCGAACTCGGGTTCTTGCACTTGCAAGGCCAGCGACGGAGCCACTGAGCTAAATCCATGGCTCAACACATGTGCTTTCTAATGAGCACTTGAATAAACCAATTTTCCCCCAGTCTCTCTTGCTTTATTAACTCCAACCTTCCTCATCTTGTTCTCCAAATCACCAGCCTTTCCTTCAATTCATTCTCCACACAGGCACAAACACCTATCTGTCACATCCATCAGACTATGTTTTCTGTATCTTTAGCAAGATTCATAAAATATGTTCTCAGAGATGTTAATTGCTCTTCCATGGGGGAAGTGGTCAATTTCAAATATTTGTGAGATGAAATTTAAGAGCTTATTTATTCTTTTTACTGCCAGTTTTTTGTTGTTGTTTTTTTCAGAACACAACAGGTATATTTCTACTGGACTACCTGATACAGAAGATAGTGTGGTATGATGGATGGATAGTATGAATGACAAATAATACAAATATATTTTATTTGAAATAAACAAAAAATGCTAATGCAGCTTTCACTTAGAAACAAACTCTTGCCTGACTGTTATTACTGAGCAAAACAAAGCTGAAGCATAAACAGCCTTCTTCTTTAACATGTATCTGGAGACACGTAGGAAGACACTACTTGGTTTTTTTTAAAAACTGACCTCCCTTCAGGGCCTGGTCATAGAAGTATAAGCAATGTAAATGAATCCACCATCGTCAGCTGTCCTATCGTATCCCTGTCACCTGTGTGTTCTGAGATCACACATTTACCTGCCACTACACCTGGGAAGGGTTACTATATCACAGTCACTGTTGAGTTCTTGGTAGGCAGGACTAAGGAAGAGTAATTTGGAACAAATTTTACATCCCATTTAGAAAACTCCAGTATTCCCTTAAATAACAGGTTACAATAGAGAAGTACTGCCTGGAAGTTACTCTTTTCACTTTGGTTTAGTTTAGTTTTTGTGATTTATAGAGCTGTTTGACCCATTTGCTTATAGTACAATCCTGCCACTGAATATTAAAGGACAAGATATGTGTGATTCCTTCAACACTGCATTTTTCAAGTTATACTACATCCACAGTATGTCAGCATTTCTTCTCCTCATCCAACACCCAATCCTTGAAGTTCACCATCTTGGGCTGCTCTGGCCCAGCCTGGCAGTGGGTGTGAGGCCTGCCAGGGTTTTTTAAAAATACTTTGTGAATCTCCCTGGGTGGGTTAACTGCAGTGATGGTGAACATTTTAGAGACCGAGTGCCCAAACTGCAACCCAAAGCCCACTCATTTATTACAAAATGCCAAAACTGCAATTATACCTGGATACTGAGGTTTTAGTTTACAAAAAAACAACTGTTATCCAATGCTCAGCTGCTGGGGTGACTTAGCTCATGTGCCGGCAGAGAGGGCTCTTCATGCCCACTGTGGTATGCATGCCGTAGGTTTGCCACCACTGGTTGACTGCCTAATAGTTTGAAGTTCTAAAATTATGAAGTTCCTCCATATTTCATAGAGCACCTATAATTTCTCATGGGCATTAGCACTCTAGTAATACTTTGAAGTCACACTCAATAGCTTGAGATATAAGGCCTTACATGAGATAAAGTCTGCATAATTCTGTGTCTCTCATGATTTTAACAGCTACAAAAATTGTTCCCAGTTCTCTAACATAAAATTATTTTTTCATATTTGGATGTGGCTAATAATGCTACTTCTACTTGAAATTCCATTTCCATTCATCATCTATCTAATGAAATCCTCTTCACTCTGAAGCATTGCTCAAATGTCTCTCCTTGACTCTCCATGGTTTACCCGCATGAAGTCAGTTACTTCTTCCTGAATGTCCTCTCCTCTCCTCTCCTCTCCTCTTCCCCTCTCCTTTCCTTTTCCCTCCTTTCCTCTCTTCTCTTTTCCCTTCCCTTCACCTCTCTCCTTCTCTCTCTCTCTCTCTCTCTATATGTGTGTGTGTGTGTGTAATAGATACATATCTCTATATATGTAATAGATTT